GATTATTTCATTATTTAGAAACTACCTCAAACATGACTAAAATAAGTTTTCTTCTTCTGCTCGTATTTTATGCTCCTTAAAAAGTTGAAAGTCTGTTATTTACTTTTATTAATAAAGCATGATATTCAAAATAGTTTCCATGAAAACTGAAATCGAAACGCATCCAGACTTAATATTCAATCGAAAAGAGATTGAGGCTGAAAAATAGGGAACAAGACGCACCAATGAAAGGAAAATGTCATCAAGAAGTCTAAAAAAGAACAAAATGAGTGAATATTTAGTGCTCTGTTTCCCATGATTTTGAAAAATATTCGTTTTTCTCTAATCTAAATTAATGTCTTTTCAAATAATAATTTTTCACGAATTGAGTAAATTAACTTAATTTTGGGAATTAAAAATTGTCAGCTCTGCGATGGACATTTTTGTATAAATTTACCGCACTCAAGTTAATTTGTTTATTATAAACATGCATGGATTTTAATATTATTACACATGTCAACACACTCCATTTATATTTCCATTTATCGCTCATTCGCTGTGGGTCGTCGTCATGAATTCCAATCATAGCTTTTAGTCAACGCACACTCGAAACGCTGCTCTCAGGACTGCAGCACGCGAACGACCCTGGCATTAACGCGCAGACAAAATTCTCCACCGTGTCTGTTGCTTGTAAATGGCAAACTGCATGCTTAAAATGCTTCGCACACGTCCGGCCACACATTAACAAAGGCCTTGGTGCACCTTGAAATAAATAATTCTCGAACGAATCGATCCCACCCTGCTGACTTTTGCGCTCGGCTTGATTTCGATTCGTAATTAAATTCAATGCGAATGCTTTGATTTATACAGAGGGCGCGTTGTGTGTTAGCTCATTGCTGCTGAGGTCAGCAAAGTGACGTAATTATGATCTCTTGGTGGTTTCAATCAAAGGGCAATCTTGTCAATGGGTGGCCGACTGGCCATCTCTGATTGTCTCACAACCAGACAACTGCTGAGACACAATTAATTGGATAAATGAAAAATTAGATCAGAAGGTCTCATTGTCAGTCTGACCATTTTACGGACATTTAGATTAGCAATTTTATCTATGGAGAATTTGTGATTATTTCCATGCAAATAATTCGGTTTTTTATCACCACAATATAACAAAATTGAGCTAAAAATGGTTGAAATTTAATAACTGAAATCTTTGATGATTAATGTGAAAAATTAACATGATAAAAATATTGTTTTATGCTTCTTGTAAATTACACTAAATTTTAAATATATTTCTCACAGAAAATTTTCATAATTTAATGTACAATCGATCAGCAAATAACTTTTGCAGCAAAGAAATCTGCTCAGTGTGTTCATAGTGGACAGTTTTGTGCTGCTGTAAAAAAAAATTATGTGACTTTTTAGATAAAAAAAAAACGTTTACAGAATAAAATTAATTGACTGCAGCAAACCCTGCTCATCAGCTCAGTTATGTTGGCCAAAAAAAGATGTCTACCTTCCAGAGCCATAAGGCCCCATGGCTCTGACGGCAGCAGTGTACCAACATAATTTCGGGACGAGCAGGGTTTGGACTGCAGTAGCTTTTAATTGCTTCTAGAAGCATAAATTTTTTCATTGCAATCAACGTTCACGTTTTTTTTTATTACTCTTTTAATTTAAATTTATATTCATGCACGACATTTATTATTCAGGAATATTTTTGCTGTATACATATTGTGGCGTGATTCCAAATTGCATACCCTGGACGAATTTTATGCCTTGTTTTTATTACAAAACAAGAAGGACAACAACAACTATTGCAATGAATGGGCCGCGCATCGATTTTGCCATTTAAAGCCGCGGCCGGCGTTTGTCCCTCGCCGTGGTCAGGCCATGAAAGTGAACGTGTCCCATGCGGCCTGCGAAATACTGCGCTGCTCTTCTCCGTCTCTCTCCTTTGTTATTTTCTTTCTCTGTGCAAAAGCGGCGGCGTCGGCAGTGCCAATTTGCGCCTTTGATGTGCCTTGATAAAGTGACAGGAGCAGGGAGAAAAAAAGAAAAAGAGGAAGAGTGTGTGCGAAAAACCGCCTCTGTGATCAAATTAGCCTCAGGCTTCAAGACTATTTCATTGAAAAGCCCTCCTCTCAATTATTTGATCTTCAAAATCTACTTTCCAGAAGGAGTTCTGCCATTATATTGATTATTTATAAAAATGCCCATAAATTTAAATAATAATAATAATATATATTTATACGCAAAATATCCCAAAAATTTCCACAAGAAAATAGTATAATATTGTGAACTACATCATTATAATGTAGTTGCTGATTCATTTTTTTTTTAATAAATTTTTACTGAAATTCTGAATCAATCTAGAAAAATTTCATGAAATTTAGTTTGAATGCAAAAATTTAAACTAATTTTAGAAATTTGAATTAAAATATAGAAAAATATCCTATACGTGTACGGTGTTTTCCTTTAACGCATAAAAAATTAATTACGCTCTTAAAACGTAAATATTTGCACTAAAAGTTGAAAATGCAGCATTGTATTTTATTTTTAGTGCATTTCACTCCTTCCGAAGATTTATTTTGTTTTTCGTTTATATTCGAAACTTTTTTGCTAAAACCGATTTTGGCTAACCAAACTTTTTAACAAAGATTCATGGCCCAGCTTAATACCGAGATTGATGCATGGGAAAGACAAGAGCAAGGGGAGTCTTGTTCTCCAGCTCGTCCCTTTTGGTTTATGCAGAGCATCAATCAATTTTATCGATCTCACTTTCTCTTTCCCAAACAAAAGGAAGATAAGACACCGAGAATTTTCCAGAGGCGCGTGTGATCGTCCGCAGGGCGAAATGATTTTTCATTTGCCCCTGACAGATATACGCGCCCGCCAGCCGGAAAGGCAAACTTTACGACTCGCACGACCCTCGGCCAAGACCGAAAAGCTGCAAATTGCATGCGGGAGCCGAGCAGGTAAATAAACTACAGCAGAAATCTCTCAAGAGAGAGTTGCAGATGAAAAGGTGAAAATTCCATGCAGGTGGAAAACTTGCACGGAATGTTTTCAGGTTGCTTTGGCGCGTTATTCGTATTTCTGGAATTCATTTCTCTCATATCTGCGTTTTGCTTTGGCAAAAGCTATGAATGTAAATGCGTGCCTCATTTCACAGACTTTAGTGTTTAGTCTCTCTCGCACCGCGTTTTCCTCTCTCTGCGTGGCAAAGTCTCGGAAAATAAAACTCTCGCAGCTCTCTTGTGCATGAGAAAGAAAAATATAAATATCCGCGAGCCTCAAAAGAACACGCACCAAGAACATATTATACGGATTTACTTTCCCGCTTCTGGCGAGTAAACAGAAATTGCAAAAACAGCGCAGTTTTTATTTTGCAAAAATCGCACACGCACAGGCGTTGGCAGTCTGGAAAGTTAAAAATAAAAATAATAAACATAGAGAGAGGAAGCTCCATTAAGCGAATTCAATTTAGTATGCGTAAGTAAGAAAAATGAAAAAGGCCCTCAAAAGGATTACTGCTGAAACTTCTAGTTTCTTCCGCAAATTTAAAGAAGCTTTTTGCTCCAGATGAATGAATAAATAATACAAAAAAACTCTTGCGTTCAAGTAATTAAAACTCTCAAAAGTTTTTAAGTACGTTCTTGCTCGGATAATTAACCTTTTCAACCAGCCTTTGTTTATATAAATATAAATAAACCTCCAATAAAAAGTAAAAACTGTATATTTGTTTGCTATTTTTTTTTTAAAGGAACGTAAATCTCAAAATTTATATTTAAGTCAATTTAAATAAACTTTGAGTAAAATAAAATATGTCAAAACCAAATTATTTAGCATAATTAAAAAAAAAATCATACAAATATAGTAGCGAAAATTTAAGTGAATCTACACTTTTAATTCTTATATTTTTTGATATGCATATATCTTAAATTTTTGTCACTATTGTTTTGTGATGTAAAAATATAAAAAAAAAATTATTAAAAGAAAAGAAAATAACAGTGAATCATTTTGTATCTTCATAGATTAAATTTTTGTTCTTTTTTACCACTAAAAAGTCCCTAAATACATAATTATATACCCAGATACACTGAGCTCAGAATGTTATCCCGAGACCGGAGTGCACCAAGTGATGTGTGCACGTTGTATAAACAGATATTGGATTTCACATTGAGAGAAGGCGGATTTCGCTATATCCATTTTTATCGCGATTGTGAAAGGAAGCGGCGCAGAATGATATGCTCAACGTCTATTGCATTACGCATCCGAGATTTGAATTAAAGGGCTCATGAGCTGATAATCAGCGGGACAAAAGGTTATCCTCCTTAGAGGCTGCACAAAGAGCATAAAATGCTGCAATCTTGAATGTTATTTTGTCTTGGCGCGCATTTCTCTTCACAGATTTTTGCATTGTCATTGGGAGAATTAATTTGCACGAGAGATGCGGCTGATTGCTTCTGTTTTTATCACACAACGAACGGCCTCATACGCAACCTGACATTTTTTATAACAACCGACGAAAGTGAAGTTTTATGTTGCTATTCAAGGTCTTTTAACACACATATAAAAGAAAATTAACACTAAAAGTGATTTTACTTGAAAGTTGTTTGATCTTCCAATTGATAAACGTACACATCTTTAAAAATGATGATTTTAAAATTAGAGAGTTGAGAAATTAGCGAGATAATGATAAAAAAAGGTGTCAGCAAATTTTCTTTCACAAACAACACACTTTTTAAAATGATGCAAAGTAAGCAACTTTTTTACGAGAGGAAAAATGAGTAAGCCTAAAAAAAGAATCATTTTTAACAATTGCACCACATTGGTGACATTTTTTCTGACAAACGACCCTCTTTTGTGCAGAGAGAGTAAATGAATAAATAATTGTTATGGTCGCCCCGAAATAACTGTTTTTCGTCCTCTCAACTTTAATAATTCCCCGAGAATGATAAAAATAATTAAGAAAATTAAAATGAATATGGCTGCGTCTCTAATTGAGGGCAACGACTGACCTGGGACCTCTCAGCAACAAGAGGGGTGCAGATGCTCCGAGGCGGCGCTGGCCAGCAGCATGGTGCACATTGCAGAGTGCCTTCTCTGGTGTTGTCCTACGGTGCTCACTCGGCGCCGCCGCCACTCGCACTGACTGCTCCGTCGCAGATCGATGCCGCCGCCAGCAAAAACTCCTCCAGCACCAGCAGCGGGGGCACACAAGGGCCGACGAGGCGCGCCACAGCTGCCCTCGCCACCGACCCGCCGAGGGCGCCCAACGCGCATGTGGCTCCGTTGTTAAAATTAAGGACCGACCACGCCAAAAGATGGCAGATCATTATTCACAGGGCTATTTTAAGTCAGAAATTTTAAATTGATAAATTAATTAATGTGGCGGTTCATACATGCAAACCAAGAAGGGGAAATGCATTTTAAGTTAATTTCAAACAAAGTTGATTTTTTAACTTATTAGTTATTAATGAGATCAATTATAACCTGTAGGATTATATTATTGTTTTTTTAATGGCCTTGTTTTGCTAGCTTAAATACATAATTATATTTAAAAAAAAAATACAATTTTTTTGGCAGTAAATTTCTAAGATGAATTAATGAATTAAACAAAAACTCTAAAAAAAATCATAGTACTTTAAAAGAATTCACTATTCTGTTTGTGACACTGTGATAATTATGACAAACATTTGTATTTTTGTTTTAAATATAAAATGTATTGGCTACTTATAACTATATCGTAAAATTCACAATTTATATATATCATTTTTTATTTAAATTTTAATTACATTTTATATTTAAGAATTTTGATAAAAGCTATTTTCTTGAACAATTAAAAAAAAAATTGTTTTTATTTGTATTAATAATAAGTTTTTTTTTCAATTAAATTCTAATAATCGATATCAAATGTCTGGCAGAGGCATACTAAAAAAAATTCTATCACTTTATCTGCGTTAAATCGTTTTATTACCTGCTCTTTACAACAGGGTTACATTAAATGTTATTATATTTTGATTGATTATACATTTATTAAAGAGATTTTTAAAATTATTCCATGTGTATATATCAATCTGTTTCTATATAAATATTAAAAATAATTTTATGCTTTTAATTTTTTTAAATAATTACTTAAATTTTTACTCCTTTTAGATTCCTTTCTTGTCAGTTTCCTCGCTGCTGTCCTTTGGCTCCTCATTGACTTCTTCTTGTGATTCTTTCTCCTCCTTATTTTCATTATTCGCTGTTGATTCAACATACCTGTACCTTAATGATTGAACGCCAAAGATGATCATGCAAATAAAAATCCAGCTAGCGAAGAGTAGATTTTCCCAGACCTATCTCAAAAAAATTGCCAAGTTCATTATAATTCTTATTAATCTTAGTGTACCATGTTTCTGAAAAATCTGGCCCCAGCGATGAAAATAACAATTATATTTCCAAACGCCACTGTTATCAACCATCCAGAAACGATCACAGTTTTCATGCTTGGTGGAGCCTAAAAAGGTCTTATTTTAATATTTACACGCTCCGTTAACTAATTGCTAATGTTACCTGAGTGAAGGCAAATTCAAGACCTGTGATTGAAAACAAAATTTCCGCGGCTGTCATGATGAAATACTGGGGCACAAGCCAAAAAACGCTGACAGTACTCTCTGGTGTAATTTCGTGCTGGACCACCTGAATTTGTGAATAAATTTGTAAATCTAATTGTTAGAAATATAATGTTATTTTCCTGTCCAGTTTCTTGATTAATGACCAATGTGTATACACCGCCAGGTCCAATGAACGCCTTTCCAATAACATCATTATTCATTCTGATTCGGTATCTTTTTTTGGATGAATTTATTTTGAAGTATGAAAATTTGATGAAAAACATCAACAAGGAAAAAAATAATTAATTCATTACTCTTGAGCTTTGAGATCTGTTATTTCTGATGAAGAAATTTCGCCGGAAAATTTAAGTTCCAATAACTCTTTCCCTGCTTCCAGTACAACAAGTACCTCTTCTTGCGAATTAGCTTTTAATATTATTCTAAAATGACTCACATTAAATTGTGGCATATTTATTGTAAAATTTATATATACCGGACTTTCCCGTTTCCAAATGGTGATTTTTCAGGTTCGTCAAATATTGGCTCGGAAATTTTCAACTTAAATTTGGTTTCATTTCCATAGTAAATGGCATAGCTTTGAGACTTTAAAAATAACAATTTCAACATGAATTGATTTCTCAATAAAATTTTTTTCAAACCTTTCGTCTCACTACATCAATCAGGAATTTACTATTGGCACTGCCTTGGGCACACAAAGTTTCGTCTGTTTTTACGGAAATAATATACTTCCTATCAATAGCTGTCGAAATGTGAAGGTTTTGCCATGCATCCATCGGTCCGATCTCAAAATCGCCATTGTCCGCCAAAATATTCATAGAGCAGTTGAGCGTGTTGATTATTCGCAACTGAGCCTCTGCTCTGAAAGGGACGACGGCGTTTGTGGGTTGAATTGCCACTTCGACCAGCGCCGAGATCAAAAAGGCCAAACCGGCCAACAATCCCCCGACAAGCATTTTCCGAAGGGGGGTTTGCAAAACTTTTAATTTCCTGAATAACGGGTAAACTGCCACTTCAAACAGGGGAATCATCACGACCAGCAACAAGGGGCTCCAAAGTTGCATTTGGTCCGGAAAAATTCTCCAGCTGCCAAAGTCGCACTTCATGCGACTCGCTTGGAATGTCCACCTCGAACCCTAGATTTTAATTAAATGAAATTTTTAATTATTTAAAATAAAAAAATATATATAACCTTTTGGTCGTACAAAGCCCAGAAAATTGGCAAAGTTTTGAACATTGATAGAATATTGAGACTTAATTTGGTGTCAGCAATCAGAGTTTTGTCGTATTTGTCATCAGCGTAGTCAAGCCAGTGGATTCTTTTCTCCACATGACCACGACTTTTCAATTTCATTTTCATCCCGTGCTGTTGAATTGTAAGAAGTATAATTTTATTCTCTGGAAGAATTATAATTTTTCATTGTATTTCTAGATTGGTGAAAGTATGTTAAATCAAGAACTTTTTATCTTCAAATTTAAATCTTTTTTAAAAGTCTTCAATAATTAATTTTTAGAACTTTGAACAATTTTTTTTTAATTTCCTGAAATGTATAGAAAAAAATTATAATTATAGAAAATTATTTTAATCTAATTTTCTTCAACAGTTTTAAAATGAAATTGCCACAAGGCACACATTCAAGCAAAAATATTTTTTCCTCTTTTAAAAATAAAAGAAATAAATTTAAGTTGGTGTTTTTTTTGTATAGTTTTACTTACAAATATATTCCATCTATCAATTACTAATTTAAATTCTTAATTTTTTTTAAAACTTTAAAAACTAATAGTTTGTAATGAATTAAAAATAAATAACAAAGAAAAAAAATGACATTTTCATTAAGTCTGCAGTTTGTGTGATATTACCGCCATGCACTTGACAACTTTTAGTAAAACATTTCCCCCTGGTGGTTTGAATTGGTAAAACGTTGTCCCAGCCGTTAGCACAACTGACATAAGAAAAGACATTAAAAATGCTAAAAAAATTATAATTATACTTTAAGACCTATTGCGAATAATAGGAATGCTGCAGAAACTCCAAAGGATAGTGAATAACAGTTGTCATCTGTTTCGCCAAAACACTGGGAGGACCTCAGAATTGGCGAGACAATCGTGGCAATGAAACTGGCGAGACTCATCGTAACATAATAAATTGAGAAAAACTTCCGTTGTTGGTCTTTCTGCTCGGGAAGTTGAAATTGGTCAGCACCAAACGCAGAAACGCAGGGAGATATCGCGCCGTTCCCAAAGCCGGTTAGGAAAATACCAACGTAAGCCAAAGCGCTATTAAATGCATGATTATTTTTAATTTCAAGATTTAATTAAAGGCAATTAAAAACATACACAGCACTGCTGAATATTGGTAAAGTACTTGTGAATAGCAATGAAATTCCAACCAAGTAAAATAGTGAAACTAAGATAATCGTCCTTAAATTCATGAAAGTAAAATTATTTATTTTATTTAAATTTTATTTAAATATTTTTACTTGAATCTTCCAAGCCAGCTGTCAGCAATTATTGCCCCGATGATTGGCGCCGAGAAGCAAAGGGCGACAAACGTGTGATATAAAGTGGTGGCCGTGTCTTCAGAGTGACCGAGCCAGCTTACCAAAAAAATTGCTAGAACCGCTTTAAGTATAATTTTTTATCAATTTAAAACAAAAATTAAATAAAAAATATTTCTCACAACGCATCCCGTAAAGACAATATCGCTGGCAAAACTCAAACACACTGATGAAAAACACTCCTCGAGGATATTTCATGGACTGTATAGAAATTATTGAAATTATATTAATTAAATTAGAAAAAAAATCTTAATTACTTACGGTAATAACTTCGGTGTCAGCACTAGATTCCATTTTCAGCAAATATAATGGCCCGCAGCCCGCAAACAGATGTGTGTGTTAAAAGCGTCCTTTTTATAATGCATAATGGAGATCTTATCTTTTTCTCACCGATTGCAGAATTGTTGATTAAAGATTATCATAAAATATCAATATACTATCATAAAATATTCCAATTAAGATATGATCTGGGCGCATCAATAATACTCTCAACCAGCTCGTCTCATCTCAAATTGATTATAGATCATAAATTATTACAAAAATAAAGAGAGAACTATAAATTGCAGCCAGAAGCTATATTACTGAAGAAATATTGCTCACTCAGCTGTATTCTGATTGGGAAAATTCTTTTGATTTTTGTTTTGCGATACTCTATTGGCGCCACAAATCGACGCACATCCAGCCATGCAATGCATTCAGCGCATCGCGCCTTTTTGTTGCCGCCGATGTCGGCATCCCGCCTATCCTGCCCTTCACTGCCATCTAGCGTAGGTCTCGGAGCAAATTTAATTTGTCAACAAAGATGGCAGACAAAGAAGATGCAAGACCTTTTTTACGTAAAATTTCCAATTTCTTTTTTCTAAATTTCTATAACTAACCTTGCATAGTAATGAACGTTGATTTTGGCTCGCGGTCTTAAACCTACAAATATAATTATTCCTTTTCAAACCAAAATCTCCAACCTCCGAACTATCTTATTTTCCTCTTCCATGCTAACAGTCTTACACGTTATCGTTTGGCCAATGTACGCAATACTCATGTGTGCATAAAACTTCTTGATAAGAAAAAAACCTATCTCGTCTGCTTCTGCTCTTTTGATTACCCTCCAATGTACTGTAGTGAACATCACACTTTTAAAGTCTCCGTCGACTTCATTCATCGTCCGAGAAATCAAAGTGATAAGAACAGGTTTCCCGTGAATAAGTTTCGCATGAATCATTCATAAAACTCCACCCGGAGAAAAACATCTTTAAATTTTTTATTGATTCTCAACAGGGTCATCGAGCTGGAGGCCGCTCTGTTGGAGGAGTGCACACCTTCGGAGGTCTGGAGCATGGCCCAAGGCAGGACGATCCCGGAGACCATTCGGCCTGAGGTGTGGCAGCTCTTGGCGTCCAGAAAAAAGAGAGCCCCTTGCTGCACTTTTCCGAGATCTTCGACTTACCTGATCAGAGTGCATTAAGGACCGACTGCCAGCAAGCAGTTTGTATATTAAATCTTCATTGAAATTTTCATAAATTTTCATTATTTGTTTATTTATTTGCAGCTAAATTAGGGAATGAAGACGAAGACAAAGTTTCTGTGATATCCGACCTGGAGTCAATTCTCACTTGCTACTGCAAATCGACAAAAAACAAATTTGAGAAGGGAAATGGGTGGATTGAAATACTTCTTCCTTTGCTGTCCCTGAAATTGCCTCGCGCTGAAAACTACAACTTGTTTGACTCCATTGTGCATCAGTACATTCCTCGGTACGTCAAGAGTGTCGTTGCTTATTCAAGGCGTTATGTTTAATTTGAAAAGATTAAGAAGAATTTTTAGAGGAAACACTTCATAAAATTTCTGTCTAAACATTCGCAAGAAAAATGTTTTAAAATTATATTTTGCTTTATCATTTTTAGTGGATGCAAAAAGAACGGACTTCCATTCCACTTATTTCGTCTGCTGCTTCAATACCACGATCCAGAGCTATGTTCCTTTCTTGACACCAAGAGAGTCAGTCCAGATCTCTACTGTCTACCATGGGTATTAAAATACACAAATCAGTATGCAAATTCAACAAAGCTAATCCTCTTTTCAGTTTCAAAGCTTGTTTGCGTCCAATTGTCATCTGCCGGCCCTGCTAACCATGTTGGATCACTATTTTCAACTGGCCGACCCCTTTTTCATTTTCTTCTTGGCTCTGGTTATGCTGGTCAATGCGAGGTATGTGTTTGTTGAGAGTGAAAGTGACTTTGCTGACGAGTCTGCCAAACAGAGATCAGATTCTGTCGATGAATGACGACGCCAAAGTCACAGTAGTGGACGCACTCTCGATGATGCCCTGTGATATTCCCGCCGATGATACCTCCGACTTCTGCACCTTTGCCCAGTACTATGCATCAAAGACACCTGCGTCCTTTAGAGCAGTGAATTTTCTTTTAATTTCAATAAAGTTTTTGTACCAAATTTTCACTTAACAGGAATTGATTGAGTCTTTCTTCGGCACTGAGCCGCCCATTCTGTGTGAAAAGTTGGGGATTTCCCAAGCACTCTGTCTCCCCATTTCAGCCCACGATCCTGTCTTTAATCCCGAGTTGCGTGAGGGAGAAAATGTCAAATTTTTCCTTGGATTGTCGACCGGCTGAGCAGTACAACGGAGGTCACTTGCCCATTGCCTCTCACCTTGACTGTAATTTTTTAGTAATTGCTTTATTTAATTCTTGTGTTAAGATGTTGCAAGAACCTGCCACTGCAGCCCAAGGTTTGCTGTCGGTGCAGCAGCTTGTTATAATGGGATATTGATTAAAATTCAATTCAATTTTCTATAAGGTTAACATTAAAAAGTCAAATCGAACTTTAATTGATTTGCCCCCAGTCGTTGGCGTCAAATACGGTGGCAGGCGGTGACCACCTGTGCTTTTTGAGTTTGGGTCAAGAAGGAGGAAAACCAGTACACACACATGGTTGTTGCCTCCTTCCTTAAAAAAAACACAACCTGTGTCAGTATGGTTAATATTCTGGATTCTGGTAAGAATTATCTAGAAAATTTTAAATCAATTTATTGATTCTTTAAACAGATTTAAGCTATTGATCACTTGGTCAAAGAGAATCCTGTGATCAAACTTGACGATCACATTCCACTAATGAGCACTGGTTGTCGGGAGACTCACAATGTTGACCAATTTGATGCAAACTTCACTTGGCTCATGCGATGTTTGTAAAACTCAATGGGGCGGCATTGACAAGTATATCTGCTGAGGTGAAAAGCTTTTCGAGCATGTGAATCCATCAGCATTTCAATTTACGGCTTTTCATTCTATTGGTATTTTAAAATGTATTTTGTGAGTCAAGGTGATAAAAGAGCTATTTTAAATTTCTTGCATTTCAGCATTAACTCATTTATAACAATGTATTATACTATTGAATTATTGCACTTCTGTAGTGCATATTGATTTTTTTAGATGAATGTTTTCATTAATATCAAGTGTGCAGCCAAGTCACAGCAAATGCTTGTTCTGAAAATTATATTCAATAAAAATCAGTATACTATACATATCTCTTTATTTTTTAATTGATGTCAGAATTTGTATGTTTTAATGTATTTGAATTCAGATTGAATAAACACATGAAAAAAATGTTACCTGTCAATACATTTTTTATTTGCTTTAACATTTAGTTTAATTATGACACGGTAAAAATAATTTAAATGGGTTTACAGTTGATTATCAATTTAATTAACATTTGCGCCACAAGTAATTAAAATATTGCAATACTACTAAACATGCGTGAGATTTTTTGGTAACGATATTAAATTAAAGAAGCAGATCAAGGAACTTAAAAAGGCGCAAAGGTAAGAGGGATGAACAAAGCCAAAACTGCCTTTGTTCCCTTAGATCAAGTTCACCGACTTAACTTGAATGGCAGTGTGTTTGGTGTGGCAGACAATGCAAAAGGCCTCCCTGTTGTTCCCAGAATGTCTCATATCTTGCTCTAAAATACTTTCCCTGCAGGCAACGCAGATCCCAAAGTGCCAGCAAACTGAGAAAATCTCTGTAGGGCGGGCCACATGACAACGGCCACAGAGGGACCCCGGCTCTGCAGTTCTGTCGACTGTTTCAAGAAAGTCAAGCAGCACTTCGGCGCACCTGCGCTTGTCTGTACATAAAATACCAATTACAAAATTGCCAACAATTATTCATCTCATGAAAAATCAAGTTAGGTATAAAATAGAAAAAATAGTTTGCAAAAAAATTAAACTAAAACAATGTATAAAATAAAAACCCTACAAATGTTCAGAATGCAAGATAAAATGTGTATGCATATTTTTAGTGGCAAAATTAGGCCACTAAGTAAAAGCTATTTGAGTTTTGTGTTACAAACTATCATTTAAACTTTTATCTTTTTGCGGTGCACCCTTTATTCGAATTAGATTTTGTGCAACCTTCTTTGCTTCTTTGTATTTTTCTGCGTATACAAAACCAATCACATTTCTTATAAAAAAATTAATATGAACTATATTACCCCAGTTAGCCACTGTTCCCTTTCCATTGTTGCTCAACACCCGCATGATGTCCGCCTTAGTAAACTCGAGCTCAACCTCCTCCATAGTTGGAATTACAGGTCGCCGAAGCAACTCAATGGCTTCAGGGCGAAACCCCCCGGCCATCACAAGCCTTGGCTGAAAATTTGAAAGAAAATATCAATGTATATTTTGAAAAATTAATTTATGAAAAGAAATAAATCATTCTAAATTCTTTATTAAATTATTTTTTAGTTTTGAAACATAAATCTCTAACCTGCACTATCGGCTGTTGATTGACTGCCATTGCTACTTTTGGGTGAAGAGCGCAAACGATTTGCCAAATATCTTTCTCAATGTCAATCTTCGTAGTTGTTACCAGAATACCGGATGATCTAAAAACGAATTTAGATTTTACACGTTGAAGAGGCAAGATTTTTGATCCTATCTCTCTCAGTTGAATTTTTGAGACAAAAAACAATATGGATATTAGAAAGGTGGATTGGAAAACAGAACAGATTTCTGTGCCCCATAAGAATTCAATGTTAATTTTCGTAATTTTCTGTGCTGACAACAATGGTTTGTCCAACCCAAACTTCCAATATCCATACTAAAAACTCAAAGAATAATTATTTCAGTTGGCTAGAAACAAGCTATAGATACAAACTCACACAAGTACTGTCTGTAAACAAAAGGCTGAAATGATCTTTTGTTATTTTTGTGGGAACACTCGGCTGGACAAGAAAAGCAACCCGACAAAGTTAAAAAAAATTTTAAAAAAAGTTCCACTCTGATTTATGTTTTAAAGCTTTTTCAGGGCATTTAAATATTATTAAAGAATGATTTCAGTTTGAAAAAACCTTAAATAGATTACTTTGTCATCCCAAGAAACTGCTGTTGCGTAATAATTAAATTACTTATACTAAATAAATAGGCACTTGATTTCAGTCAATTATTGGAAATTTAACCACCATAATATACTGTTGTAAAGACTTGATTTGACTATTAATACCTAAAAAAAAGAAAAAAAGAAGAAGTCATTAAAAAAATTCCCACATTATATTATACCTTTTTGACCCCTAGAGTGTGACTAGACTGCGAGTTTATATTAGCATTTTGTAGCAACCGAACATTAATTGTTCAGACAGAAGCCATCTATGGATTTTAAAAATCTATTTAATTCATGTCTATAGGTGAAAATAAAAAAATTGAAGCCAATAATAATAAAAACTTACGGCTGGCGTGAAAAAATGTATTTTCTAGCAATTGTATAGCGCGCAATCAAAATTTTCTCATAAAAATTTCTAAAAATAGTCGAGATATATTATATTATGTGTTATATGTGACCATCCCTGAAATTTGAATTTCTTTTAGCCGTGTACCTGTACCTATTAAACTTTGGGCTATTTTATAATTTCAAGTACCATTTCTGAAGTTCTAGAAGCTTTAATTGCAAAATTTCAACTTCAAAACTTTACAGGGGACATTATTTATTTATTTTTATTTGGAAAAAATCATAATTAAAAACAAAAAAAAGGTTTCTTTATTGGCTTCCATTTTTGCTCAAGTATTTTAATTTTTTACTAATAGAAAAATTATCACAGCCAATTTAGCTAACCCCTTAATTCTGACCAAACAGGCATTTCGAGATGGTCAATTATGCACACCCACCCCTCACCATAAAAATAATGGTCCATTTCATTTTCGAAAATATCATCCCAATATACCAACCAGATTAATCACACAGGAATTAAATAGATTTAACAAAATCCTAGATGCCTGTGTGCATTTTACTGTTGCTAAAATGCTCTAAACTCTCGCAGTCTCGCGCACCCTGGGTGTAAAGAAAGTATAAAAAAAATATGGGGATTTTCTTATTAAAGGAGGCAAAATTCGATTCGATCTTTGTATAAAAATCCCCAAATTACCTCTCGTTTCGAGAAAATTGTCACAAACTGCACTCCTGAGTCTATAATACATACTCAACGCCTGCTCCAAATCCTGAAGGCGCGCGCGATCAATTAGAAGAAATAAAAAAGTGAGGAGCGAGCAGCAGGTTATTTCAGCCGAACTTTCAGGCTGTGGTGCTTTCTCCAAGACCAGACTTCCACATGCCTAGGTAAATCTTAGCCGTTGGCAAAAAGCACCTCAAATAAACAGGAATTTAAATTTTTTTAAGAGGTTTTTTCCGTGGATTTACTGAAACTGTGCGAGAAACACTTGGCTTTAAAGAATGGAATATACAAACCAAAATAACTGCTTTACACTGTACATAACACAAACAAAACACTACTCTACAATAATTTGAACAGAAAAAACACACGCACACTAACAATTATCTGAGAAAGAATTTTAAAATTTTCAGTGGTCTGTCGTCTATTATACCTAAACTGCTCTAGCTCCGCTGGAATATATCAAATAAACAAGAATTTTAAAATTTTCAGTGGTCTGTCGTCTATTAAACCTAAACTGCTCTAGCTCCGCAGGAATATATCAAATAAACAAGAATTTTAAAATTTTCAGTGGTCTGTCGTCTATTAAACCTAAACTGCTCTAGCTCCGCAGGAATATATCAAATAAACAAGAATTTTAAAATTTTCAGTGGTCTGTCGTCTATTAAACCTAAACTGCTCTAGCTCCGCTGGAATATTTGAAATAAACAAGAATTTTAAAATTTTCAGTGGTCTGTCGTCTATTAAACCTAAACTGCTCTAGCTCCGCAGGAATATATCAAATAAACAAGAATTTCAAAATTTTCAGTGGTCTGTCGTCTATTATACCTAAACTGCTCTAGCTCCGCAGGAATATATCAAATAAACAAGAATTTCAAAATTTTCAGTGGTCTGTCGTCTATTATACCTAAACTGCTCTAGCTCCGCTGGAATATATCAAATAAACAAGAATTTTAAAATTTTCAGTGGTCAGTCGTCTATTATACCTAAACTGCTCTAGCTCCGCTGGAATATTTGAAATAAACAAGAATTTTAAAATTTTCAGTGGTCTGTCGTCTATTAAACCTAAACTGCTCTAGCTCCTCAGGAATATATCAAATAAACAAGAATTTTAAAATTTTCAGTGGTCCGTCGTCTATTAAACCTAAACTGCTCTAGCTCCGCTGGAGTATATCAAATAAACAAGAATTTTAAAATTTTCAGTGGTCTGTCGTCTATTAAACCTAAACTGCTCTAGCTCCGCTGGAATATATCAAATAAACAAGAATTTTAAAATTTTCAGTGGTCAGTCGTCTATTATACCTAAACTGCTCTAGCTCCGCTGGAATATTTGAAATAAACAAGAATTTTAAAATTTTCAGTGGTCTGTCGTCTATTAAACCTAAACTGCTCTAGCTCCTCAGGAATATATCAAATAAACAAGAATTTTAAAATTTTCAGTGGTCCGTCGTCTATTAAACCTAAACTGCTCTAGCTCCGCTGGAGTATATCAAATAAACAAGAATTTTAAAATTTTCAGTGGTCTGTCGTCTATTATACCTAAACTGCTCTAGCTCCGCTGGAATATATCAAATAAACAAGAATTTTAAAATTTTCAGTGGTCTGTCGTCTATTATACCTAAACTGCTCTAGCTCCGCAGGAATATGTCAAATAAACAAGAATTTTAAAATTTTCAGTGGTCTGTCGTCTATTATACCTAAACTGCTCTAGCTCCGCTGGAATATATCAATTAAACAAGAATTTCAAAATTTTCAGTGGTCTGTCGTCTATTAAACCTAAACTGCTCTAGCTCCGCTGGAATATATAAAATAAACAAGAATTTTAAAATTTTCAGTGGTCAGTCGTCTATTATACCTAAACTGCTCTAGCTCCGCTGGAATATTTGAAATAAACAAGAATTTTAAAATTTTCAGTGGTCTGTCGTCTATTAAACCTAAACTGCTCTAGCTCCTCAGGAATATATCAAATAAACAAGAATTTTAAAATTTTCAGTGGTCTGTCGTCTATTAAACCTAAACTGCTCTAGCTCCGCTGGAGTATATCAAATAAACAAGAATTTTAAAATTTTCAGTGGTCTGTCATCTATTAAACCTAAACTGCTCTAGCTCCGCTGGAATATTTGAAATAAACAAGAATTTTAAAATTTTCAGTGGTCTGTCGTCTATTAAACCTAAACTGCTCTAGCTCCGCAGGAATATGTCAAATAAACAAGAATTTTAAAATTTTCAGTGGTCTGTCGTCTATTATACCTAAACTGCTCTAGCTCCGCAGGAATATGTCAAATAAACAAGAATTTTAAAATTTTCAGTGGTCTGTCGTCTATTAAACCTAAACTGCTCTAGCTCCGCAGGAATATGTCAAATAAACAAGAATTTTAAAATTTTCAGTGGTCTGTCGTCTATTAAACCTAAACTGCTCTAGCTCCGCAGGAATATGTCAAATAAACAAGAATTTTAAAATTTTCAGTGGTCTGTCGTCTATTATACCTAAACTGCTCTAGCTCCGCAGGAATATGTCAAATAAACAAGAATTTTAAAATTTTCAGTGGTCTGTCGTCTATTATACCTAAACTGCTCTAGCTCCGCAGGAATATGTCAAATAAACAAGAATTTTAAAATTTTCAGTGGTCTGTCGTCTATTAAACCTAAACTGCTCTAGCTCCGCTGGAATATATCAAATAAACAAGAATTTTAAAATTTTCAGTGGTCTGTCGTCTATTATACCTAAACTGCTCTAGCTCCGCAGGAATATGTCAAATAAACAAGAATTTTAAAATTTTCAGTGGTCTGTCGTCTATTAAACCTAAACTGCTCTAGCTCCGCAGGAATATATCAAATAAACAAGAATTTTAAAATTTTCAGTGGTCTGTCGTCTATTATACCTAAACTGCTCTAGCTCCGCAGGAATATATCAAATAAACAAGAATTTTAAAATTTTCAGTGGTCTGTCGTCTATTAAACCTAAACTGCTCTAGCTCTGCTGGAATATATCAAATAAACAAGAATTTCAAAATTTTCAGTGGTCTGTCGTCTATTAAACCTAAACTGCTCTAGCTCCGCTGGAATATATCAAATAAAAAAGAATTTTAAAATTTTCAGTGGTCTGTCGTCTATTATACCTAAACTGCTCTAGCTCCGCTGGAATATATCAAATAAACAAGAATTTTAAAATTTTCAGTGGTCTGTCGTCTATTAAACCTAAACTGCTCTAGCTCCGCTGGAATATATCAAATAAAAAAGAATTTTAAAATTTTCAGTGGTCTGTCGTCTATTAAACCTAAACTGCTCTAGCTCCGCTGGAATATATCAAATAAAAAAGAATTTTAAAATTTTCAGTGGTCTGTCGTCTATTAAACCTAAACTGCTCTAGCTCCGCTGGAATATTTGAAATAAACAAGAATTTTAAAATTTTCAGTGGTCTGTCGTCTATTAAACCTAAACTGCTCTAGCTCTGCTGGAATATATCAAATAAACAAGAATTTCAAAATTTTCAGTTGTCTGTCGTCTATTATACCTAAACTGCTCTAGCTCCGCAGGAATATATCAAATAAACAAGAATTTTAAAATTTTCAGTGGTCTGTCGTCTATTAAACCTAAACTGCTCTAGCTCCGCTGGAATATATCAAATAAACAAGAATTTTAAAATTTTCAGTGGTCTGTCGTCTATTATACCTAAACTGCTCTAGCTCCGCTGGAATATTTGAAATAAACAAGAATTTTAAAATTTTCAGTGGTCTGTCGTC